GCGCAATATGGTTCATGGGGTCACGAAGAGTCGGACACGACTTAACGACTGAACAACAAAGCAGAACTTCAAAGATTTTTTTATTGCCAAGTTTTTCCCCACACAAACAAGAAAGACAGCAAGAGCAACTAACCTGAATTTTGAGATTTGGCCCTTAGGGAGAATAAAACCCCTGGGTGTTCAGCAGAGGAGTTTCTGTCCACTTCAAGCCCTGAGCTTGGGATTCCACTACCAAATGTTTTCTCAAGATGCCATCAACAAAGTATAGTCAGACCATCTTCGTTTAAGGCTCCTTCTTCCACAGCTAGCAAGCTCTATGTGATGCCACAGAAGACCATGGATTGGCTGCAAATGCCATCCGTGAATGAGCCTGTAACAGCCCTTTTCTGTAAGATGGTAGTCCAGGGAGAGGGGAGTGGGGTTCTTGCAGACCCTACTGAATGGAGCTTTGAAAAAGGTTCTAGCACCTCGGTTGCCCCCAAAGCCCTGATGATTTGTGCTTGTGAACCTGCATGGAGGCTGAAGGAGATATTTGATAAAAATGCCAAGGCAGCTGAGTTGATTGTGGATGCTACCTTGCTGTCTTCAGGTCCAACTTGCTCTATGGTAGCTCGCTGAGGCCTGGGGCTCAGCGGCTTTGGCAAGTCAATCACTAATCTAGGATCAATTGGTGTGCAAGCCCTCCACTCTTTGGAGACACCATTAACTCTGTGCTGGTAGAGAATAGGAATCAGAAGAAATACTTCTTTAATAAGAAGGAATGCACTGTATTTCTCAGAAAACCAGCATCTTCCTTTGGAGCCATGGAACAATCCACCAATCCTTTGCATTTCCGAGGCAGTCAAGGAAGCAATCTGGGGATAACAAAATCTTCAATACAAATATTTCAGTAGGGCCTGAGGCAAAGAGGTCAAATCCCAATAGTAAGGATCAATTCCAGGGGTCACCAGGTGGATTGGCACCTGCGACAAGTTCCTTTCCCTATCTGGGAGAAACTTGCAGAGACAAGTGGTGCTTGGCTTGGTCAAAAGGAAGTATGCGCTGAAGTTCCAATTTCTTCCAACAGATTGGTTTGTTTGATCACGGATGTCCAGGAAGTTGAAACTACATCAGAGGATGTGAGGTGCCATTCGTCATCTGCTCAGCATTTGAGTGATAGTGCAGGTGCCTCCACAAGAAAGATTGACTGACCTGTCCTTGATGTTGTTCACAGTCCAAAGAAAAATGGGACCTGGATTGTTGTTTTGAACTTGAAGCTGTTGAACTGGATGCTCAAAATGGAGATGCTGGCTTCCACTGTAGAGGACATTTATTGGTGTTGACAGACCTGTTTTGTGCTTATCTTCACATGCCCATCAGACCAGAGCACAACAGGTTTCTCAGGTTCATCTATAGGAAGGACAAATTTCAGTCAAAGGCTTTCCCATTTGGCCCTGGGTCACTCCGAGATTATGGTGGCTCATGCCTGTCTATTCTCACCTAGATGTTTTGCTAATCAGACCTTCCTCTTTGGGGAGAGCAAACAGGAACATAGATCTCCCCATCCCCGCTTTAGTAAATCGAGAGAAGAGCTCTCTCAGTAAAGGAATTTACAGCTGACCTTGGAGATGGTATGGAGGAGCCCTTAAGGAGGAACTTGGACAAGAGATTACACAGTTCAGAGACTGAAGCCATCATGAAAAAAACTCAAAATAACTCTGCCTTGATTTTGTTTAGCATAAGATGGATCAGACAGAAACTTGGAGTGGCTTTCAGCCTTCTGTCATGTTACTCTACCACAATAAAATAGCATCGCTGGAATCCCTGTGATGTCTCTTCCTTGACCTGGTCCACCCCAAAGGGCTGACGCCAGTCTCTAAAGCATCATTATTCTCTCAGAGAAGCATTGAATCTTGCTTTTAGATCTTTAAGATGTTGGCAGATCCTCAGGGTGCCCTGCTGTTCACAGAACAAGTTGCCATGGCATTGCTACATCAACAGCAAGTGGACATACAGATAATGAACCTACACAATGCTGTGGTACAACTAACATGGAAGTTGGGGCAAGGCTTGCCTCAGCCAGGAGCAGCTCCACAACTTGTGGCCCAACCGATACTGCTTTATTGTCATGGAAGTCTACTGGAGCAGAGGCGTTTGTTTGGAGGGGGCAATTTCCAACCTTCACAACCCAGAGCGAATTGGTTATGGTGGGTTGGCCAGCAAAATTTCCTACAAATTGCCCCAAGATTGATTTTATTCTTGGTCTTCTGTAAGAAGGGACTACCCAATAGGCTGTGCCCCTCATTTAGGGCAAAGATCAACTGTTGGATAATTACAGAATTTGTGCAAAGAAGTAGAGCTGCTTTTGATGATTTAGGAAGGATAGGAACAGCAAATCAGGAGATTTGCAAGCTAAAGCATTGAAATCTCTGAGGTTGTGAATATATAGCTGATATTCAGTTATATGCCAAAGATGTGGGCCAGAATAATCTTGCTCTGATTGGCCAGTTTCAGGAAGGACTTGCTGAACTAAAAGATGAACTGGGAAAACAAAGCACATCTGGGGGAATGGTTCCAACACTGTGTACTAATTGATGGGCAGCTGGAAGAGTTGAAGCAAGGAGGAAATAATAACTGGAGGAGGTTTTACAGCCTCTCTTTGCTCCTTCCTCACCCCCCTCCACAGCCTCCTTAGACTCCAGCACTAGAAAACCCAAGCAAATAGAAGCAATGAGATGCCTGTAGAAGATCAGCAAAGAAATAGAGAGAGACCTTGGTATATGTTTTTATGGTGGAGCCCCAGGACACCTAGCCAAGTCTTGCACAATTAAGGTCTAGCTCAGTAACAAAGTGGACCACGTAGCAAATTGCTCCAGGAGACTTTGCTGGCCTCCGCTCCCAAGAGGTCAGCAGGATGGTCTTCAGACAATTAAGAAGTGCTCAGATAGCCGACAACAGGCAAGTGCAGTGTACTATCCCTGTTGCTTTTCACCCCTTCCCCCGCCCCAGGCATAGAAATGCAGCTCTCTGCCCTTTTAGGCACTGGTGTAACAGCCGGTTTCCAAGATGGGACCACCATCAGGGCTAGTGCAGCAGTTTAGATTGCCCACAAAGTTATTAGAGAAATCTATGGTTATGGAAACAATTGATGGGCAGTGGCTTTGAGTTGGTCCTATTTTGGAATGTTCAACTCGTCTACAACTGAAAATAAATGATCCTAGAGAATTCTTGCCGTGTCCCCATGGCCTAGATTGGCTGCAAACTGGTAATCCAGATCTCCGTGGGGAGCAATGGACAATTTATTTTCTATCTCAAAAGTGATCTGCCTGCATCCCATGCTTTTCCTTCTCCTTCTCTACGGCCATCTGAATCCTCTTCTTCGCCAGAAAAGTACGCCAATTTTGCTGATGTTCGGGAGAAAGAGGAAGCAACTTGGTGTGCCTTTTTGGTGGCTGTCCCATACTCTAGAATGATCTGCCTCCCAACACTGCCCCCCGCCCCCGACACACCACAGGCCCCAACCTTGCTTGTCTTTAGGAAAGCTAAGACCTGGCTTTTGGTTCCAAAAGCATGAGTGAGGTCCCCTTTTGGAGTTTTCACTATTGCCATTTTATATTTTAAACATTGGATATGTTTAATCTTATAAAGTTCTTTTGGTTATTGTTTATTTTTCTGTTGTACACAACCCAGAATCACACTGTTAGTTGGGTGGCCCTATAAACCTATGAAATAGATGCCTCCTCCTTGGGTACGTAACTGTGCCATCAACTTAAAGCTGGGGCCTGGAGGCGAGACACCAGATCTAGTCAAGAGTTATCCATTTTGAAAAAGCTTCTGGATGATAATCTGAAGAAAGGTTTTATTCAATGTTCTATATCTATATCTATATTTATTTATTTATATCTTATATAAATATATATCTATTTCTGGATTTATTTTTTCATTGAGGGCTTTTCATGGTTATACACTTCTCTGTGACTATTAGGATTATCTATCTATTTATACGGTTGCCCAACTTGAACAGTGCAATACAGGTAGTCCTCATGTAGCAACTACCTTGCTTAGCGACCGTTTGCAGCGATGGTGATGAAAAAGAAACTCTGCGACCAGTTCTTGCATTTATGACCTTCACAGGTATGTAAAGCAAAGGAAAGCTGAAGTCAAGTTGTAAGCATAGTTGTGGTTTCATTTAGCGACCACTTCGCTTAATGACTGAGTTGCTGGTCCACAAGAGGACTACCTGCACTCATGTAGGCCCCAACACTTGGGAAAATAACAACATTTTAAAGCCTTTCTAAAGACTGTCAGGGCTGGAGCAGCTAAACAGCAAGATGTCAGGTTCGGTCAGCACGAGGTTTCAGGGAAGCACGGGGCTGCAGGGAAGCTCGCAACCAGACCA